AGCCAGAAGTGGCGCTGTGGCTCAAGTGGTAGAGTGCTAGCCTTGAGCTGAAGAGCTGAGGGACAGCGCCCAGGCCCAGAGTTCAGGCCCCACAACCGTACCCAAAAAAAAAAAATTAATCCTCAGAAATCAATGGCTTTCCTGTATGCCAATAACAAGAAGAGCGTGGCTGAAATAGCCCCACAAAAAAAAAAATACTTAGGAGTTAACTAAAGAAGTAAAGGACCTCTATGGTGAAAACTTTAAAACCTGAAAAAGGAATTTAAAGCACAACTAAGTAAGTGGAAAAACCTCCCATGCTCCTGGATTGGGAGGATTAACATCATGAAAATGGCAGTACTGCCAAAGGCTATCTACAAATTCAATTCAATACCTATCACTATCCCAACCTCATTCTCCAATGAAATAGAAGGAGCAAACCTAAAATTCATATGGAACAATAAAAGACCCGAATAGCAAAACCAATTCTTAGCAAAAAGAACAGTGCTGGAAGAATATCAATTCCAAATTTCAAACTCTACTACAAAGCCATAGTAATAAAAACAGCTGGTACTGGCACAAGAAGAGACATGAGGACCAATGGAATAGGAATTCACAGACCTATAGCCACCTAATCTTTGACAAGGGAGCTAAAAAATAGAATGGAAAAAAGACAGCCTTTCAGTAAATGGTGCTGGCAAAATTGGTTAAACACATGTAGAAAACTAAAAGTTAGATCCGCATTTATCACCCTGTACCAGAATCAACTCCAAAGAGATCAAAGACCTTAAAATGAAAGCAGACACCCTGAAAACATTACAGGAAGGAATAGGAGAAACTCTAGGGTTCCTTAGCACAGGCCAAAATTTTCTTAATAGAGACCCAGAAATGCAACAAATCAAAGAAATGTTGGACAAATGATATTGCATGGAACTGCAGAGCTTCTTCATGGCAAACAACGTAGCTAGCAAGATCAATAGAAAGCCCCCGGACTGGGAGAAGATCTTCACTAGCCATATAACGGACAAGGGTCTCATATCTAAAGTTCGTTTTCAACATAGTGTCTTGTACAGGATCAACCTGTATCCTTGTTTCAGCATTTTGTTATTTTCCTTCCCCTCCTCAAATTAGAAAAAAATGTATATACAAGATGCAGGGATCGGAATCAAATACAGTGAAACACAGGGGTTATACCATGGGGGAAGAACATACAAAAGAAATTTAAAAATCACACAGTACTTTATAAATACATTGAAAACAACAGCAGGGCTGGGAATGCAGCTCAGTGGTAGAGTGCTTGCCTTGCATACATGAGGCCCTTGGTTCAATTTCTCAGCACCACATAAGCAGAAAAAGCCAGAAGTAGTGCTGTGACTCAAGTGGTAGAGTGCTAAACTTGAGCTGAAGAGCCTAGGGACAGCGCCCAGGAACAGAGTTCAGACCCCACGATCTAGAACATTACTTTGGAAACATTTCAAAACCCTTTTAACCCAGACATGTGGCTTCTAATTATAGGCATGAACACAAGTAGGATGAATGAGAATGTAAAATAATGAAGCCAGTGGGTTTTGAACATAGGAAAGTATAGATGCATCGGTTCTGCCTCTTATATGCTGACCTTGTCAAGGTCTGAATTATCCAGAGACAAACCTCTGTTGTGGTTGAGAGATCTACTGAGAACTCAAGGGAAGATCCTGGACTTATTCTAATTATACCCTTTCAGAATGAAATGCTTCCAGTTCTCAAGGACAATAAGAACAGAAATTTAAGCAATCAGAAACCTAAAGCATAAAAATCACAAATAAAATTCTAAATCTTAGCCAGGCACTGGTGGCTCATGCCTATAATCCTAGATACTCAATAGTTTGAAGCTATGCCAAGTAAGAAAGTCCATGAGACTTTTATCTCTAATAAACCACCACAAAGCCAGAAGCGGAGGTATAGCTCAAGTGGTACAATGCTGTCCTTGAGCACAAAAGCTCAGGAACAGTGCTCACCCCTTGAGTTCAAGCCCCAGGACCAGCACATTCACACACACACACACACACACACACACACACACACACACACACACTCACACACAAATCCTGTAGGAATATTGGGTATATTTTGGCAACACTGTTTAGAAGCCACAACATACTTAGATGTGGTCTTTTTTTGTGTGTAAAAATATCATACAGAGGGGTTATATATGTGGTCTTTTAAGGGTTTTGTTACTTAGCCTTCTTACATAAAGAACCTGAAAGCTATTTTATAAGAATGCTTGCTAAAGATCAATAGAAAGCCCACAGATTGAAAGATCTTCACTAGCCATACAACAGACAAAGGTCTCAAATGTAAAATATACTTAGAACTCAAAAAATTAAATCCCCAACAACAAATCCTCAAAGAAACAATCACCCCATTAATGAGTGGGCTAAAGACAGAGAGATTTCTCTGAAGAGGAAATAAAAATGTCCTAAAGACACATGAAATGCTCAACCTCTCTAGCCATAAAAGAAATGCAAATCAAAACAACATTGAGATTCCACCTCATCCCAGTTAGGATGGCTATAATCAAGAAATCTAATAACAACAGATGCTAAAGGGGACGTGGCCAAAAGGGAACGCTACTGCATTGTTGGTGGGAGTGTAAACTTGTTCAACCACTTTGGAAAGTAGTATGGAGGTTCCTCAAAAGACTCCACATAGAGCTCCCCT